CCCCAAAACCCCAAAACCCCAAAACCCCACTCCTCTGTAGACATATTGAAAATAAAATAAAATTAACATTTATATAATATTTAATGGAAAGTATTCCCAGAACTAAAGAAGAAAAGAACACCCAATTAATTAGGTAATGAGAGCTTAATTTTAGAGTACCCTATATTTTCATCATCTAATTTATAACAAATTTTAAATTTTAAATATCACATCAAAAATAATCAACTTCTAAAATTATCACCTTGCTAATTCCTTGGTTGAAAGAATTCTTGATTAAACTGAAAAATTTAGGTGGCCTTATCTCTCCAAAATTTATTTGATATCTCAGCAGATTAAATTTCCTTCTAAAGACTTAAACTTCATACTTCTCAATAACAAAATTAATACTTTTTCGGAAATCCATCTTAAACTTTCTGATTGATTCTGACATTGATCCCCTCCTCTTCCATCTCTAATTGTACAGTCTAGAGAAGTTTATCCTGGCTAAAACCAAGAAGCAGGATATCAGGAAAGGCAGGAGAATTCTCTATAAGATTTGTCCAGAGAAAAGAAAAATTAAGCCATTGGATTCAGGCTGTGGAGAAGTTCCAAAAAATAGTTCACTTCGGATTAGTTTCAAATATTTATGAGATGTGAAGCTTGTAAAGAACTTGAAGTGCTTCGATATAAATAAGATTAGTTTTGATTATATTGATTCTAAAAATAGGCATTTGGTAAATTTCTTAGAGGCCTCATTCCCAGATAAAACTAATGAGTTAAAATTTTGGTCTTGGAATGAAATGGATCTTATTAACTCATCCAGCTCTACTAAAAATAAAGCTTCAATCTAAAAGTACTTATGAAGCTTATTGGGACAGATCCTGATTTCTTGAGCTTTGTGAAATAAAAAAAAATATTTAAATTCACTTCTTGAATGGGTCAAATTATTGCAATTTTATTTTTTCTGATTGGAACTTTTTGAATTTTGAATTTTAAGAATTCTAAAGCTAAAAATAGAAGCCTCGAAATCATTATTTTTATTGTTCATTAAATGTAAAAGGAGTGCTGTTAACTTATAAAAGAAACAGAGATAATTCTATTCTAGATTCAAAGTTCATTAATAGTTTGTTTTTATTAATAATGATCTGAAATCTTTATTCCATGTATGTCATCTCATAATTCCTCTCTATAGCTTTGATACTAACTTTTGATCTTCTAAAAACACATCACTTGCTGAATGTTGACAATATGATTTAGAAAGCATCTATCCTTAAACCCACTGGTCCGTCTCAGTTCTAAAGTGGCTCAAAGAGTTTCACTTCATCGTTTTTGCATTGGCTTCCCCCAACTGAAGAGGCTGGTAGGAGCTTACAAGCATGTGAGAAGCTTGGGATTCATGTTTTGCAGGCTATCTATTCCAAGTGTTCCTGACTTTTCAAAGGCTCTTATAAATTGCCAAATCCAGGAACTAAATTTAGGAGGATCAGGAGATTCTAGTTTAAGTGACTGGGACAGCAACTTCGACCAATTCAAAAACTTGGTACAAGGACTAGCTAGTTCTCCAGATTTAAAATTGAGTCTCAAAAAGGTAGATATCTTTAGATGCAGAGTAACCCAAAATAAAGCTGATCTAATCTTTGAAGAAAACCAGTTTGGAGAAGTTAAAATATTTGCTGGATAATAAATCTTTGCTAACTTTCGTATTTTTCCTGCTTAGAATAAATGATATCATTTCTCCATATTTAACATGTTGTGATTTTTAATATATTTTGGAGTTCTATTAAGTTTGCGTTCATATTTGTATCTTAGAACTTTAGGAGTTTTACCTTTAGAGAAAGTTTCCTAAATTCAGGCGGCATAAATACACTTTCAATGAATCACCAAATCAGGTTTCTCTAGCCTTATCATCGAATGGCTTACCTCCCATTTCCTCTAAGCAGATGATATAGCAAATGCTATATCATCTGCTGTAATCCAGTTGCCTGTTTTGACCAGGATAGACTTCTTTAGACTACAGAATTAGAGACGAACAAGTTATTGGAATTTGACTCAGAATTTATCAGAAATTGTGGACTTTATGTTTGAAGAGTTTGGTCTGTTAGTAGAGGAGAATAAGTTTTAGCCGGGAATTCAGGGAGTGTAAGAGGTTTAAGGAGATGTACATTTTATTCGTAAATTCAGGATGTAGGTTTTTTTGAGATTTGAAATATTATTTTAATAGGATCTGTTGCAATGAGTTTTAGTCGATAGAGTGCAAATTTTGAGTGCTGGTATGGAAAATAGGGTGAATTGTGAAGAGGAGAGTGCTATTTGGTCACACTTAGTTCTAGGGAATATGAGAGTTGTCTTTGACAAGTTTAAAAATTAGATTAGTAAGATAAATATAGTCTAATGGTTTTGAAGGTATGAGTTAGATTTAAAATTTTAAAAATTCTGGAATCTTCAAATTTTCAGTTGCAGTTTTTAGAGAAACTCAAAGCTTAGCTCAATTTTACCTGATAATATGGATGTGCTTATCCTCATCAGCTTGGCTTGTACTTTTAATTTTATTATTATAAAATATCTTCAAAATTTCAATGTTTTTGAAGAGAAACGGGGTTTTGGGGTTTTGGGGTTTTGGGG